GAAAAAAAAAAAAACAACAACAGCTCTAGATTCCCGAAGGCAGTCACTTAACCAACTGAGCCACCCAGGTGCCCCTGGGCTGCGCTTTCTTGAGGGGCTGCGCTTTCTTGAGGGCGGCCTCCTGAAGAGGTAGCTCCAGTGTACTCGCATAGAAACACCTTAGCAGGTATTTCTCAAATAAGCTTATAGAGCATTTTGCTTCTTACAGAACTGATGTTCTGAATTAATGCCTTTCATGCAGAACACACCTCACATTTGAAAAGAAAGAGAGGAGACTTAGGGCCCCCAGGCTCTGTATGGCAATTTTTTCGCCAAAACAGAACCAGAAGAGTTGGCCTTTCATTAGTTGTTGTTGTCGTTGTGTGTGTGCCTGTGTGTGTGCATGTTTAAGATGCCAGATTAAGTGTGTTTACAAAAGATTCACATAGGAATCATGACGTTTATTGAGCCTCACTGGAAAATAACACCCTCCCATCCAACATCCCATTTACCTGGGCTTTCACGTCAGTGAATGCAGTGTGCCCCATTCCTGGCTCCACTCTGCTCCAAAAACCTATTCACTATCAATGTTTTTATGGAAATCAAGCTGGGGCTCATTTGAAGCATTTGGGCAAACAGACTAGAAGGCTATGAATAAGAGCAATGGATAAAAACAAGTCAGACTCAAGAATCCAAATAGAAGTGAGACAGGTGAGACAGGTGCATTGTTTTATGAATTCACATGAACCTTGATCAGTCTCCTAAAGCCTGAAAGCCAGGTAGAAGAAAGATCTGAAGCAGTTTAGCCTGTAAGAGGGGTGTAAGTCTGATACGTCAACAATAATATTAAAAATCGAGGGAGAGGCCTCCCTAACACTACCTGGATATGTTCGATAGCTGTTTGACAAGCAATCAGCAGAGTCTGATTGAACAATTCTTTTCCGGCAGAGGCTACTGAGCCGCTTTCTATGTAGATGCATCTTAGGCAAACATATAACTGCTTCGAACGGGTCTCTGTCTCAGGTGGGCTTCCCTAGAAGCAAAACCTGAAATGAGGATTCTTTAAAAGTAAGTTATTAGGCAGTGCTCTTAGGAGAGGGAGAGAGATGCAGGATAGGGCGGGGGTAGGAGCTAAGCAAGGATGGGATCCCGGCTGGATATTAGCTTCAGCCTGATCTCAAGGGAAACTTATAGCAGAGTCATCCCAGGTTGAGGGTGGGGCCAGACTTCTGTGAGCCCTTAGCCACAGCTGAGGGATGAGTGCACCAGGCAGGTAGTAGCAGGACACTAACAGATCCGTGGTGGTCGTTAAGCTGATGGGACTAAATCTCTAGGAGCCATGCCATGTGGTAGGAGATGTGGTTCTCATCCTAACCCTGACTTCACTAAAGACATGATGCTATGGCCATGGGCCCCTCAAATGACCTCTGTAACCATCAATTTCCTCATCTGTAAAATGGGAGAAGGGATGGCAGGGTTGGATTAGACGATCTCTATAATTCCCAGCTCCGAAATGCAATTATTTGAACAACAGAAGTAGGGGTAGCCTCACTGAGGAATAATTGACATTTTTCCTATTCATGGAAGGAAGTTAATTGATGTAAATGTGTCCCTGAATGACCACTCCATTAAAAACTCTTCTCTCACCTGGAATAGCTCTGGATACACAGGCAAATCTAAGAAGACAAGCAGTAAAGTTGCCCTGAAGGCTTATGTTCTAAAAAGGGATGGCAAGGCTCTGTTTTCAAACAAGTACTCTCAGAGCAGTTAACCTCAAGGGAGCATTAATGCAACCAGGCAACCTCATTTAACTGACTCCTACATCAAAGCAAATTAGAAGCAAGAGGCTGGAGTGAAGCGTGAGCCACAGGCTGTACCTGCAAAATGGCACCACCTCTATGAAGAGCAGTTGGGCAAAATCTGTCAGTTCTAAATACATTTACTCTTTGACCACACAGCGCCTTCTCCGTGAATTTATCCTGCAGGCACATGTGTATGAAATGAACTTTACATGAGCTTATTCGCTCTGCTACTTTTTCCAAAATAATCCAAGATCAGAAACAACTCAGTGGTCCATCAATAAAGGACTAGTTTGGGGCGCCTGGGTGGCTCAGTCATTAAGTGTCTGCCTTTGGCTCAGGTCATGGTCCCAGGGTCCTGGGATCGAGCCCCACATTGGGCTCCCTGCTCAGCGGGAAGCCTGCTTCTCCCTCTCCCACTCCCCCTGCTTGTGCTCCCTCTCTTGTTGTGTCTCTCTCTGTCAAATAAATAAATCAAATCTTTTAAAAAATAAAATAATAAAATAAAGGACTAGTTAAAAAGAACAACTGTGGTAGCTTCCATACAATAGAATACTGTACAACCAAGAACATTATGGATGGACATGGAAAGTTCTCCCGGGTACATCGATAGGTGAAAAAGCAAGGGGAAGAACAATATCATTCTAGATCAGTATGTATATTACGAACATATATGCATGTGTAATATAAGTGCGCTCCTTTCTGTATGCAAAATGGAGGTAACAAGATTATATATTTATATTCAAATGTATCCTTAGGTATCTGGAAGTTGTTTTTTATGTATCTGGAAACAGATGCAAATAAAAAACTTCTAAGAGTGGTTACCTATATGGAATGAGGGAGTGGGAAAATGGGATGGATGGAGACATAAGTAGAAATTAGAATTCTTACCAAATGTTTTTATAAATTTTCATCCTACATTTTTTCCCCAGCTACCACTGGTTCTCCTGTAAGGAAAATGCAGCTGCTGCTTGATTAAAAAATAAAATAAAATAAAATAAAATAAAATAAATTTAAAAGCAGGCATCAATCAAAGCTGGTCCTTCCAATTTCCCTTATTTCATGCTTTAGTTTTCAGGATTGGCCAGTGGCTAACAGTATGACTCACAATGCTGAAAATACTTCCTATCTGGCACTCTGCAGAAAGTGTGCCACGTCCAATGTTAAACCACAGAGTTGTTTGTTAAACCACTGTGACTATACCCATCAGTGAGCTTTGGGTACTGAAGAGTGTTGTCTTCTTCAAATCAGCTTTTCTAATCACAGATAGATCATGCACCAGGAAAATGAGGTGCGATACTGTACCAAGCGGTACAAGAACAGCATGAACTCAGGTTTCGATCTGGGCTATGTCCCTCACTTCTCCGTGATCGTGGGCAACTTCTCAAACTCTCAGTTTCTTCCTCTGTAAAAGGCAGACAGTAATAGTGCCTCCTTCATAGAGTTGTTTGGAAGGTTAGGTATGTTAACGCATGTTGGCAAGAAACTTAGCACAATACCTGTTGGTACTGTCATCTAATACTTTGATCTTTTTTTTTATGTACAGGGTGATGACCAGTTAAATGTATTTGGAGAGGACACTATGGGAGGTGAGTTTCCTTTACTGATCAGACCAAACTTGTGTTTTAGTAGCTTTGAGCATGTCTTCTTTATTAAACACCAACCGAGAGACAATAAACTACGAACAGCATGCACTTTTCCCTTAGCCAGGCTCCACGATTCAGATTGGAACTCTTGGGATCTTTCCCCTCTTGGTCCATGCAAAGAACCAAAGGGACACCTTACTTAGAGATGCATTTCCCGACTACCCAGAGAACATGACCCTCGACATGCTCAGTGAAAATAGAATGTTCTGGTAAAAATACGTCTGGGAAACACTGAACATTCAATCCCCTTTGGAAGAGGTACACATAACAGCATAGCAAGACTCCCACAAGTCTTGCAATAAAGACAGCTGGCTAACTTTAATTTAACATTCTTCAGATTTATTGGAATTCAAAAGTCTTTTTCCTGCGTAGTAGTTACTAATCTGCAGTGTGCTGTTGGGATGCAACCTAAGAAACACCCAAATTATCCTGCTTTATAACTGTTGTCATGTCAAAAGTCTTGCAACAACTAAAAAATCCAGGGTTAACTGGCTACAAATGGAACTGAAAGTAGATAAAACTATGTGAATTTGAGATTGTCCAAAAGAGATAAGGTTCCTGATTGCCCTTAGGTAAAGTACCTTCTAACATTTCCACCCGGTAATAAATGTTGCTGTAATTTTGGTTCATGAAAATATGTTTGTATTGACTGTGAGCACATACAAGTAAGTGATCTGGCTTTCCAAATAACCCCAGCTCTAATTCTACACTGATCCATGAGCATGAGGTGGTAGATAAAGTGCCATTTGATGATAATGGCTATAGCAGTATTGAAAATCTCAGTTACCAAATGACATCATGGTGATTCATGAGGAAAGGCGCATACACATGAGCCAAGTGCAAATAATCAACCTAGTCCCAACTGGGTAGGGACTGATTGTTTAATAAAGTTTCCCTTTTTCCTGGTTATAAGATTACATGCATTCATTGTGGAAATTTTTTTAAGGTAGAAAATAAGAGCCATCTAAAATCTTATGACCTCTAAATAATCATGGTTAACATTCTAGTATCTTTTATTCCAGTGTGTTTGCTATATACTTTTTACATAGTGGAGAATACATGTGTATATACAAATGTTATTCTTTTTGTGTATATCATAACATAAGCATATTCTCATGTCATTACAAACTCTATAACATTAACTCGTGATGACTACACTGTATAAATGTTTCATCATAGGTACAACTATACCTAATAATAACCACAGACACTTTCCTAGATTGCAAATAAATTAAAAGTTGCTCCGCTTCATATAGAATTGCTGAATCACTATATTGTACACCTGAAACTGATATAACCCTGTACGTTAACTATATGGGATTTTTTTTTTTTTTTAAATCATTGCTCAGCTTCAAAAAAGGAAGCTGGAAGTCTAGAGGACATGAGATGACCATCTGGTCCACGAGTTAAAAACACCAATGTATGTGCCTTTAATAGAAAGCTCCAGATAACATAGGATTTTTCCAGTCACTGTAGGTTATTCTGTAAAGAGACTGCAGCATCTCTTTGATTAGAAAGAATAAAAAAATTTCATCCCTCAGTCTGAAAACCAAATGTTTCCAAAAACCCCAAATTCACATCTTTCCTCTGATTTTAGCTTCCCTGTTCCCTTCCCTCTTGTTCCCAACCCAATTCTTCTTGTCCCATTCTCTCTCTGGAATTGGGTCTTTCCTTCAGCTAATAGTGGATTCCAGCAAAAAGGTGGCATTGTTTATATAAATGAAGCATCCCAGTTCTACTGAAAAGCAAATTTGATAACTGTCAGAGGAGCAATCTAGCTTTCAAAAGTACTTATCATCTACATCAAATGTGAAGTGAAAGTCAGAGTCCTGTCAGTTCATTTTAAGTGTAAAGACTGCAGTTTTGTCACCAAGATGGGAAATAAAAACCGTGTACTCTCTCCGGGTAATTGCTTTCCCTCTGTCATTTTAGTCAACTCACACCCATAGGATGAGCAAAAGCAGCAGCTTCCAGAGCCAGGAGAAGAGTCCAGAGCTCCACCTAGACTGAGAACTCAGGGCTGGCTCCACCCAGGCAGGCCCCTCCCTCCTGGGTCTCCCCACTGAGGGCCTTCTCCAGGAACTTCCATAGCCCAGGGTCTGAAATGCACAGCTCAGGGGACCGGCGTTCCAACAAAAGCACCAAATATGTTTGAACTTCAGAATCTTTACTTTAAAACTTCATGCATATTTTCCATGAAGTGAAAAATCACGATATCCTACATCCTAATATATTACTGTCTATTCAGCGTATATTGTAGTTTGAAAAGCACCTCCCTTAGCATAAGGGTTAACAAGAATCGTAAAGTCTTCAAAATTATCTTCAGTTACTCCATCTGCAATCACATATGTCCAGCTGAGGGAAGCATCTAGTCTCAGATCTATTTTGTTTGTCCAGCATGGTGCTCTAAAAATTTGACTTTAGATGTTAGAGCTTGTTAGCTATAGTTCACAACACTCCATGCCCACCCACCTCACTGGTTTAGAATCTTTGCCTGGCCTTTGCCTAAGCGCATCCAAGAAACTCTTCTCAAGTTCTTTGTGGAATCAGCCTGCTGCCCCCACCCCCACCCCTGCAGGTATTAAACTAAGCTGCTCAGACAGGAGCCAGTCCCAGGATTGACCTAACATGGTGACATCTTCTGAGCCTCCTAGAGCCCGCTTCTTCAGCTTTTCACCATCATTTGTTCAGGATGGCCTCTCCGTTGGAGCAATAACCCCCTTAGTGGTTTGTGCAGATTCCCCCTATGAACTTCAGAGCATCCTGAACTAACCTCCTTCTTCTGTGCTGTTGGTCTGCCCCCAAACTCTGTGACCCTCTCCTGGGACAGCTGAGTAGGCAGTCCAGTCTCCATAACGAAAGCCCCATGGCCTTAAAGCCAGGGGGAGTTTTTGTTTCTGCTCTTCTCTGAAACATTCTTGGGTAGGACAGCTGTTTCTTCTGTCCTCTCAGGTCCTCACTCTAAACTTTTTTTTTTTTTTTTTTAGTTTGAGGATCCCCTGCTTCCAGGCTCAAATGGTAACCACTGGCTCTTTCACAAAGCCATTCCCAATTCAAGTCTGGGGCTGTGGTCATCTCTTCAAGTAACCTCACCCTTACCCAAGGTCTCTTAGAATTTTGGTTTACTTTAGATATCTTAAACATGCAGGGCTCCTGGGTGACTCAGTCAGTTAAATGTCTGACTCTTGATTTGGCCCAGGTCATGATCTCAGTTCAGGGTCGTGAGATGGAGCCCGGTGTTGGGCTCTGCAATGGGGGTGGAGCCTGCTTAAGATTCTCTCTCTCCCTCTGCCCCTCCTCCTTCTCTAAAAAAAAAAAAATATCTTAAACATGCAAAAATAATTGCATCATAATTTTAGCCAAGAGACAAATGGGACCGTTTCCTCCTGTGGTCCATTCATTTACAGGAACCACAGAATCATAGGTATTTGAAATGAGAGAGACATTAAAGATCACTACTTTACTTACAACACCTTTACTTTACAGATGGAGAAACCGAAGTACAAGGAGAGGAAGTCACTAGCCTAGGTCTAGTCAGTTGAGCACAGGAGAAAAAGTATAGCTATTGTCTACCCATCCTTCATGGCCACCTACTACACCACATGACAACTGGAAATCTTTTAGGGCTCCACAAACTCTGGAGGGTTTTGCACTTTGCCAAAAATTTCTAATCATTCCCTGCTTTGAAGTAATAGTCCCCCTCTTACAACTGTTGCTGGGAATGCAAACTGGAGCAGCCACTCTGGAACAGTATGGAGGTTCCTCAAAAAGTGAAAAATAGAGCTATATACTATGATCCAGCAATTGCACTGCTAGGTATTTACCCAAAGGATACAAAAATATGTATTCAAAGGGGTACATGCACCCTGATGTTTATAGCAGCATTATCAACAATAGCCAAATTATGGAAAGAATCCAAATGTCCAGCAACTGATGAATGAATAGAGAAGATAGATAGATAGATGATAGACAGATATAATAGAATATTACTCAGCCATAAAAAAGAATGAAATCTTGCCATTTGCAACGACATGGATGGAGCTAGAGAGTATAATGTTAAGTGAAATATTATTTCACTCATATGTGGAATTTAAAAAACAAAACAAACGTAAGGGGGATAAAAAAGAGAGGCAAACCAAGAAACAGACTCTTAACTATAGAGAACCAAACTGATGGATACTGGAGGGGAGGTGGGTGGGGGATGGGTGAAGTGGGTGATGGGGATTAAGGAGTGCACTTGTAATGAGCACTGGGTGTTGTATGAAAGTGATGAATCACTAATTTCTACACCCAAAACTAATATTACACCATATGTTATCTAACTGGAATTTAAATAAAAACTTGAAAAATAAGTATATAAAGTAGTGGTTCCCAAAATTCAGTCCTCACTCTCACCATCTTTGTGATTTTTGCTTCATCTCTATACGTATATGACCTATACTAGATATTATTTACCTAATATTTTTCTCTAAGTTGGCTCACTTATTATTTAAATACATTTATTTTAGAAGGAACTTTTATATCACGACCTTAAATGGAAAATAGTATTATTGTCTATAAATAGGAACTGTATTTAAAATATTGTCTTCCAGACTCCCTATTTGTTCTTTAACTCCTCTTTATTAAAAGAGATCAGCAGGGGCGCCTGGGTGGCTCAGTTGGTTAAGCGACTGCCTTCGGCTCAGGTCATGATCCTGGAGTCCCTGGATCGAGTCCCGCATGGGGCTCCC